TTGCCATCACTGAGTGAATGTGTGTGAAAGGGCGAATGTAGTGTAAAAGCGCTTTGAGTGGTCGGAAGACTAGAAAGGCGCTATACAAGTTCAGGTCCATTCCACATAATCTGTGACTATCAGCTATTCAATTTATGAAAATATCATTTTATATTAATCTTTCTATATTTTAAATTGAAACAAATCAGTAACTCATTATTAATAAATAAATAACTTACCATTTCTGCCGAATACAGTCTTGAGGACTCGCGGACAGGGGATGGTGATGATCTGTCCGATCTCAGCTTGCTCCCAGCACGCTATGCTGTACCATGCTCCTTTGCATCCGGGCTCTGTCAAAACCAAACGTGGCTTCATGAGTACATCTTTACACAGAGACATAAATTAAAGAGACTTTCCTCTCCAGACAAACACTGTTAGTCACAGGCATGGACGATGGACGTCCATGCACAGGTTAATCGCTCCCACTTTGAGTAAAACACATTCAGCTTCACCTGCAGCGTCACATACACACACGGTAAATAAACCAGTGTGTTACTGTGGGTGTTAAATCTGGTCTGCTGTTTGTCAGTGTAAAGCTGGACGTACACTGTACGATTTCAGCCCATTTCTGACACGATCTTTGAGCCGTACAGCTCATTTTAGAGCTTCGGTAGGCACTGTACAGTGTGAGCAGGTAAATTGTGAGCTTTGGCTTTATGCTGCAGACTAATTACTCATACAGTTGGAGCAGGAATTAAACAACATCTCTAAAATCGTAAACTGAACTCTCGACTTCACAGGCCGGAGGACCGTCAGGAGTTTCACTGGGTCTGTAGACGGTGGTGGTGGTGGGTGGCAGCTCCTCTGTGAGCTGTGTGTGTGCTCTTTGATTTACTGAACATCCAACATGAAGCTGCTGATCAAAGCGGAGGAATACTTTGACGTTTGATCGTATGCGGACTTTGTGTCAGGTGTGTTTACATTTGGATACAAAGAGGAGGCCGACTGACTGACTGCAAGGTGATTGGTCAGTTTACGTCCAGATTGCATCACGCTGTCTAGGGATCCAAGCTGACCTTCGGTTACCAGATCAGCAACACGGACCACGACTGATGCTCAGTTGAAAGGTGATTAAACCTCTATACAAACATATACAGCTACACTGTATGTTCATTAGCAAAGGCAGATGCAGTGGTCACTATTTTTAAAACATCTCCATGTTTTTTGTCCCATTTGTTACCAGCTGACAGAAATTTAACTAAATGTGCTGAAAATGTCGGCGAATTGTTTTTCAGTTCGGAGGAAGGAATTATTGTCCTATTATTTCTTCATAATGAGGGAACGGACATTTTTAAACATTTTCTGCACTTGCTTGAATAACAAAAACCTATCTTCAACATGATTTCATGACTTTCTTTTCCACGTTGGTGTAGCTCCAGATAGAAATTAAAAACTTTAAAAATGTTTTTCCAATAAGTAAAGTAATATTTCTTATGTCTTTCAGATTTAGTTTATCTACTTTCTGATATATTTTCCTTAATAATTAACAGCTGCAGCATAATACAAGTCTGAGAGCTTCTCAGTGTGCTTTCAAATGACTAACGAGTGCAATACGCCCTATAATATTCATAATTTGTTGGCAATTTAACATAATTTATATTCAAACTAACTGACAGTCATTGTAATGATTGCTTCCTCCTTAAAAAAAAGGATAACCTTTGATAAGATAATTTCCCTCCATTTTAAGAAAATGTGTTTTTCATTTTTGGATAGTGATTTCGACAGACACACACCTAAAATGAATAAGAGTGTAATTATCCTTTAAGAGATACTTTGAAGAGCAGTGCATTTACAAAGTCACCTAAATTAATTTTGGTCATATATAGTTCAGTAACATTTATCAACTTCTTTTGTGTTTTGTAACTTACAACATAAATCATTGAAAACAAACTTGAAATAACCATTTCTAGAGCCAGTGTTTGGTTTGTCCATTCTGGGCTACTGTAGAAACATGGCAGACGTTTTTTTGTCTTTTTGGCCAATATTTCTTTACATTTTGGTGAATCTTCACCATTAACGACATATTAGCCACCAGTTCCTGTTCACACTGTAATCATGTGCGGACAACAATCATATGGATTACTTTTGATTCTAAAGAAGTCTAAATTTTACGATAACGAGGGAAGATCTGAAGTTAATCTGATTATTTTTTTATATTTATCTCTAATGACTAATGTCTCCAACTAAAAGAAATCATGTTTCTATTTCACTAAAATGCTTTCTCGGTTAGTTGTGGTGACAAATGTTCTGTAATTGCTTGCTTGGATACGTTCAGTGGCAACTTTTGGATTAAATGAATGAAGCACGACATTTATGCGATTGGTTGGGGTGGATGTTGGGCGTTTCCAGTCCAGTCTGTGGTTAAATTAAGGCAATGAAAGCATTTTGATTAAGGTTAGGTAAGATCCTGGTTTTGGTTAAATGTTAATGTCATATCTTGTGCTTTAAGACTTTTTCTGTATTAAACCTGATCTTTCCCAAACCTTAACCAAGCCCTGCTAGTGCCTAAACAGAACCATTAAAGGGAAATAATGCTCCATCATTACAGGCCAATACTGTTATTCTAGATGAAAACAAATGGAATATTTTGTCAGTGAACATTTTACTGATATGTTTACTGTCACCATATTTGAGGTTTGAGGATACATTAATTAACTTAATTTCCTCATTTTGTTAATAGATAACAGGTTTCTGTCAAAATGTGCTTTTGAGGAGAAAAAAACAAAAGTGGACTGAATTGTGAGTAAAACCCCAAATATTACTGCACAGACTCAGCTGCTGTTCACATCATCTGTTCATATCCAAATAATGCATTTGTATTCAGTGACATCCCTGTGAGATACATTAACCCAACAGAGACCTGGATAAAACTGCAGAATAAAATATCTGGAAACACAAACAGCTCATTTACATCAATTAAACATTAAAATAGGAACTGGAAGAAACTATGCATTGTTTAAAACAATCGTACTCCTCACCAAAGATTTTGGATTTGGTGTTTCTGAAGACATACATTGACATTTAGATACTATCAGAGCAGAATACAAGGGAGGAGTGGCCCTGAATGAATACAAAAACTCCTATCCACCCTTTAGAGACAATACAAACAAACTGCCTCCCAGAATAGCTCTCTGAGCTCTTCAGCATGAGCCGTAATGGGTGCAAAAGTGCTGATGGCAAACTGAGTGGTCAACAAGGTTTTTTGGCGATAGATGAACAGAGACAGTGTGCTTGCTGAAATGTAGCCCTCGTCTCCGACAGCCCTGCTGAAAAAACACAGCCAGCCACCGGGGCATCAGACCGTAAAGGAGACCAACAAAAAAACTGCAAGTAAAAGAAACCTATTAGTGTCAAGTTGTAACATAGCCAGAGGAGGTAGGAAAAGAAACAAACCAGCCATTTCTTCTTCCTTTCATTCTTTTTTGCCCCAATTTTGGCTAAAATGTTGTGTTTTACACAAACAGGTTCACAATTGCACAAATTAACATGGAGACAACCTTTGACCCCCCGCCCCCAACCAAACGCTTTACGATTTCCTCAGAGCTCCGTGAAGAAATTATTGCCTGAATATGGGAATCATTATGTTATTGTTTCGTTACAATGAACCATTCAGAGACTGTGGCTCGCCTTCCGTGGAGTCCGCCATGTTTCTACAGTAGCCTAAACCAAATGCTGGCTCCAGATTGGGGCGTTCTCGGCCACTGCAGTTTCTCCTTGGTGCTTGGAAAAGGAGGGTGAAAGGAGGGAGTGGGAGAGCTGCAACTACAGCGGCAGAAGTCACTAAATCCTGCACACTGGAGCTTTAAGTAAGTGTAAAATTACACGCTTGAAAACATACGACCTAAAGAAATCACTTAATTACAGTAACGTGATGGTGTCTCAACACGGATGGTGTCATTACAGCCATCACACTGTGCAATCATTTACTTCATAATGATAAGGTAAAGACAAACAGTGTCAAGCTAAACACTTCATTATCCAGAGCAACTTGTAAAACTCAAGCATTGTTGTTTTGTCGGGATCCACGACCGCTGATGGATTCGCTCTGTGTTACAGAGATCAAACTTGTGACTTTGAGGTGCGAGAAAGGCAGAAGTCTGAGCACCAGCAGAGCTAATCACCAGCATCTCCTGTCACTTTCCACTGCAGGTTTTGAAAAGATCACAATAACAACAAGAAAATCTCATGCTTCTTCCTTCAAACAACAAAATGACATCGGATGCAGGGACAGACAGCTGTGATTACTCCATGAAAGCTCCATTCTGTTGCCTCCTGCTCTCTGTGATCACCTGCGCTGCTTTAACACTACAAACCCAATGCATTTATCAGGTTTTGCTCTGTTGTCACTCACTTTATTTCCAAGCACCAGTCACCACATACATTGTTGTTTTCAGAAAAAGTTGAGCTGTACATGTGAAAAAACAAGTTTATTCCTGTGTGTACTTACGTAGGTTTGTAATACACAATAAATATTGTGTATGAAAGGACAAAATTGTCACAGAAGCGTACAGTATGCCTTCTCCGAGGCATCAGGAAATGTGCAGCTATCTCTGCCTTGGTAGCATCGAGGGAAGGTGATACGAGTTAAATTCGGGAACTTTTTCCATGCATGACTCAGCTCTCGGTCTATTACTGGTGTATCCTATTCCTTATGATTAATCCAGAAGTGTTGGAGTAAGACTTCGGCTCTTGTAGCGAAGGCCACAATGTATTCCAGGATTATAAGAACCATGTTGATGGGATATTCTGAGCCTTAGTAACGTCAAAAAACATTGATAATAGAAAATATGTGGAATTTCTTTTTCCTATTTCTATTTGGGATTAATGTGTTATGCAATTTGGAATTACAGTTCCCACAATGCTTTCGCTGATGCACATAGGAAGTATAATGTTGCCAGTATAGTTTCGTCCCGTCTTTTTAACCCCCGACGTGTGCGGACTGCGAGGGCCCGATCATTGCAGCTTTCAGCTTTAATTATGTTTAATTTCTTTCTTTCATTCTGCTCTTTCTTGTTCCCTACTTGTATTTCCTTCCTCCTTCCTCTCTTTTTCCTTACTTCCAGTTTTCTTTCCTTCGGCTACCTGAGTGTCAGATATATAAGAAACTAAGAACGCGGGATAATATGTTCTGATCTGCTGTCTTGGTGAAGTTGCTCTGCCTTTCCACTTCCTTACAGTCAATTGCAGATTGTATTTCTAAAGAAGGAACTGAAGCTTATTCGCATCGTAACCTCCCTGTAAATGGCAGTGAAAATGCAAAACTCAGTCCATTAGACTGTTGAAGAGGTTTTTTTAGAAGACCAGATAGACGGGAAAAGCCAGTGGAAGCGCTGTTCAGAGAAAAGGGAAACATGAGAGAAAACCATGAAAAAGAGAACAAAAGATATGAGATAGGAAGATGAAGAGAAAGGGAAACATGAGAGAAAACCATGAAAAAGAGAACAAAAGATATGAGATAGGAAGATGAAGAGAGGAAAAGAAGAAAAGAAGGTGGTTTAAAAAGGAAGACTGAAAGTGGAAGAGGAAATAAGAAACACCAGAGGGGCAAGAGAGGCCAAAAGAGGGAGAACAGATGTCTTTGGGGGAAAAATGGCTCCAACACAAATCCAAACTCATCAGTGCATGAGGAAAACTCCATCTACCCGCTAAGTGATCCATCCTTTCTCTGCACGCTTTCACAGAAACACATCAGAGGCAGCCGGGGCCGTCGCCTTAAAGCAACGACACACCAAACGCACAGCAGCACACATCTGGAGGGAAATCCTCTTTCTCTGGTTTCTGGTCTTCTTATTCTCGATCCACTACCAAGCGATGGCTGACTGAGCACCGAGCCCTTTTTTCCAGCGCCGCTCTAATTCAATTACATGCAGTTATCTAAACAAAAGGATTTCTTTTATATGTACTGTGTGACAGTATCCCATTAACCTTCTTCAGCCGCAGACTCTTTACTTCAGTGAATCCAACGTTCTGCAGGCAAAATTTGTATTAACGTTCAACATCCCAGACTTAATATCTAATAAAAGGGACTTCAGTCAGCACTTGCGGCAGTTGTGACTTCCAACAAAGACAACTGGCTGTGTTCAGTGGTGGGAGGTCAGTGAGGGATTGTAATCTTGAAGCACAGAAATGAGCGGGATCCAGTGGCTTGTACCAACATTCATGTTGCATAAAAAGGGCCATCGTTCGTCTCCATCGTTGGATTTGGATTTTGTGTAATATTCCTTGAAAATATATTGGTTGAAACTGTGGTGGAAGTTGGTGCCGACATTTATGTTCACTGTAGGATGAAGTCAACTTTGGTGATCCCAACCTTGCAATCAGGTAGTCTCATATCAACTCGACTTGCCTCAAAACACACTGACTGGATTTCAACCACACATAAATAAACCAGAGCTTCAGTCTAAACCTTAGCCCCTTGTGTGCTGCTGAATTTTAAAGAGCAAGGCGATGACACTCGTAGGTTGAGGGTTTGATTCCCACTGGGGCTGAGCGACTTAAATCTGATACTGTTTCCTATCTAAATGATCACCTGACCGAGTCCAGAGAGCCTCGTTCAATGAACGAAGCAGCTCTGTAAGAAAACTGCTGTCTCTGGGAGTTTTTTTTTCCACTGTAGAGAATTTGAGCCATGTTATTATTTTGCTCTACTTCATGTCATTGAGCTTTAATTAACACAGCGGAGGGGGGACTCAGCGTCCACAGCTCACATCACTGGAGAGAAAAAGTCAGTTTTGTTAACGCTGCAGGAAGACTCGGGCTAATACAACCGTGCTTTTAGGCTCCAGTCGGGAGTCTACGGCAGATAAAGAGAACAATAGAATGAAACAGATTGTTCCTTCAGAGATAGGCCCACAAACTGTGTATTAACATGTAGAGTCATGGAGTATATGTATAGTATTATACATGTGAACTTTTGCACAGTTGTGCAGATAAAACTTTAAGGTAACGTTTGGTTAACTTTCGCAGTTCAAACTCAAACTAATTAAATCGTATAATAAAGTATGACAATAGGTCTGATGTAGAAAGTGTTGAGCCAGTTCAGTGAGTTTGGGATAATTGTGCAAGAAGTGGGTTACTTCTGAAATGAGCTGTTCCTCTGAGGGAAAAGCAGCAGCAGCTCATTTCATCTTCACCACAACAAGCTTTCTGTCTAAACATCTGTTTATTATATTTGATTTGTGTGCAATCAGAGCAAAAGTGTATGGAACATTACATCAGCAGGTTTATAATGTATTTAGAGTAGAGCCGAGCACATAATCGCTGCTGTCTTACAGTTCTAACTCTGAACCATCGGAAGAAAGTTTAAAAACGTTTAAAAAATTGATTTTTACTGGTACCGAGGCACAAACTTAACAATGAGGATCTCTCATTATATGCTGTTTTTATTTTACACACTCTGAGCACTCTGTATTTTAATTCCAGGTTTTCTTTAACTTACTACAAAGTGCAGAATCAGCAGCTCCTTTGTGATTTTCCTCCTGATTTCACCTCTCTTCAGTGTCAGACGTTCACTGCATGTTCTGTGCTAATAAGCATCGTCTAGCCAGCACACAAAACTTTTGAGTGCACAGGGACATAAAATATTGGTGAGAGTTAGTTTAAAGCAAGCTGCTCTTTCAATTTAATAGTTCCACCTTTTCGAGAAAATACGCTAATTTGCTTTCTTTTAAGGGGAGTGAGATGAGACGATCCATCCATCAGTCTGACATTTCTGTGTTACACAGCTGTAGGAGGGACTTGGTTAGTCTGACTTAAGGTCAGTTAAAGTTCCTATTTTAGCCATTTTTTCCACTCGCCGGCTATTTTGGGAGATCGGCAACAACATGGCCCCAGAAAAATATCTTAAGCTAAATATCTGATGGTGTTGGGAGCCAGTGAGAGCAGACACTGGTAGCCTCTCTCTCCAGCACCAGACAGGAAGCAGCGAACCTGTAGTTAGTTTGGTAACAGCCAGAAAAATATCCTCAGATACAGACACACACATAATGAATTAAGTGTTGTGAGTCGGTGTTCAAATCGCCACGTATCTGTACTTATTTTAGTTTGAAATCTTAATTTTTTAAACTGTCCACTTTAGGAATTATTAAAACGTTACATTTCTTAAAGGGAGTTTGGTGCAGGGAGCTTTTTTTCAAACTAAAATGTATAATTTTTAAAGTTTTATCACTGCTACAGAAACAGAAAAAGGAATTGTTAAAGTATATTAATGTTGTCTGACGTATTGATTACAGACGCTGGCTGATCAGGCTAATTATCAGCTAATTTTACTCAGTTTCTAAGGGCAGCATGCTGTAAATGGCTTTTAAACTACTTTCCTAATTAAACATGATATGCTTGTTATTAATGGTGTGTTTAATGACTTCATAAAAAGTTTGGAGAGCAGACAGACTCCTTCTGAAAGATCTGTAGTGTGTCCCAGGCTTCAGCATTAAGACTAGGCTTTTATTTTGTAATTTTTCAGTTGAGTTGAGCTTGGTTTTAAAATCCTGTATTGTAATTGCCAATCACAAGGATTGTCTGGTGAATACACACCAAAGACTGGGTGCTGGTCATGGCTGTTTTTATTGGAGCTTCGTATGCAGTCATCTATTCTACAATTTAAAATTGGTTTTAAATTGTTTATCCCACATTGTACTCGAGGCCCTGGAGGCAGCAGTGAAGTAGCTGTACTGATATTAGTATATAAATACAGTAATATATTAGGTCAGACAGTATTGAGCCAAACACTATATTTACTGTTTTCTAAAAAAGTAACATACATTATTCAGGAGATTATCGCTGACACAGTTTAACCTTCAAAAATATCAAAATAAATGCAAAATAATTCAGTGAATAGATTTTTATCACAGAGACTGCATGCACACTGAATAAGGCCTTTACAAAAAGATGAATAGATTTCTAAAACACGGGCAGGAACTGTGTGTGTGTGTGTGTGTGTGTGTGCACTTCATATTAGTTTTGCCTACATGCGGTCAGGCAGAGACATAATCTCATATTTCAACATGAGATATAATCTGATTTGTCAACTCAAGAGGTCAAATTAGGTGAGTCTCATATCCAGATTTAGTTGCAGGTATGATTTTGTTGCAATATATTCCACGCCTGCGTCACACAGGTTCTCAGTGACCTGCCAGCATTTCAATAAGAGGAAGTAACCTGAACTGGAATCTGCTGCACAGAATACAAAATTATATTAATCTGCAATGTGAAAGCTGCTCACGTCCTCACATGGCAGAGGTATGAATATATAGAGTGTACAGTACGTATACGTGTATGAAACTGCAAACATATATACAGTTTCAGCTTTCAGTCTGCAGACTCTCTGCTGCATGTTTCCTGCTTTTAAGGTGAAGTTCAGCTCCTTAAAGTTCTGTCTTCGCTGCAAGTTTCTAACTGTAGTTTAGTGAGTGATTGTGACCTTTATTGCTGCTGGCGGCCTCCTCCTCCCGCAGCCTCCTGAGACACTCCGCCTGGTCTCTCTCCACCTCCAACAGGAAGTTACAGGTGGGATGTCGTCCGTCAACCTGCAGAGGAAGAGGTACAAGAAATCAGATTTATAGGTTTTCGTCTCCTTTCAGAAAGAACAGTGAAAGAAAGATTGCTTGCAATTTGACCAAACTGGTGGATTTATTTCCTTTTAAAATAGTAAATGAGCTCCTAACTGAAGTTATTTCAAGACATCCAGGCTAAGAAAGGCAGTGCAGACATTCGTCTCTGCATCAACATTGTCCGTTCCCAAGCCAGAGAGAGAAAGCCAAACCGGGGTCTACTTCCAGTTGGATGTGCCCCAGAAAACCTCGAAAGGAAGGCGCCCAGGAGGCATCCTGATCAGAATCAGATGCCTGTACTACCTCAACCGGCTCCTTTTAACGCAAAGCAGCAGCAGCAGCTCTTTTCCATATGTACTATGATGCCTTCAGTAAACCTCTTTAACGCGACCTTGCAAAGTAATCTGTCCCAATTTAAAATGTTTATTAAAATAAAATTAATTTTCCTGCTTAAATGGCAGCTTATATCAGCCTCAACTGATGTTTAAGCTGTAAGAGTAGAGTGATGATCCCCGAATCACAGTGCAGCAGAAACACACATTTTATAGCAATACACCCTCATATGGCTGCAATCAACTGAATTATAATTTTAACAATGGCTTATTGTATGTATCTGTATTAATCATAAAAGATAACTGGTGGGATTTCGAGCTGATACACAGGGGGAAAGTCAAGGTTATGATTGACAAATGAATACAGGGTCAAGATAAGCTGCTTAAACCAATCAGCTAACGTTCCCCGCCAAAAATGTGACCGTGTGTGACTGTGTGTGTGTGTGTGTGTGTGTGTGTGTGTGTGTGCTGTGTGTGTGTGTGTGGAGAAGCAGATGACCTAATAAGTGTGTGAGCCACATAAATCTGCAGACAAAAAATCTGAGCCCGGCCAAACAAGAAACCGTCCCTCCCTGTTTGGATATGAAATCGCTGAATACAATGTGTTGTGTGTGTGTGTGGTGTGTGTGTGTGTGTGTGTGTGTGTGTGTGTGTGTGTGTGTGTGTGTGGTGTGTGTGGTGTGTGTTGTGTGTGAGTGAAATGTCAATCAAAAGCCGTACAACATACACAGATACAGATCCATTCTGTGTGTGTCTGTTAATAGAAAGGTAAAGCCTGTG